AACTTTCCACAAACCCACAACAACACCAATTCACTTTACCTATAAATTAAATAACCAAGTATTAAATAGGGTTAATTCAGTCATGGACCTGGGCGTTACCTTTAATTATTCTTTAAGTTTTTCTGACCATATAACGAACATAATTGCTACTGCATCTAGAACCTTGGGCTACCTGATCAGGTCGTCAAAACATTTTTCCAACACTTTCGCTATAACTTTGCTCTTTAATGCTTTAGTCTTATCTCGAATTGAGTATGCCGCGTTCATATGGAACCCTTTGTATAAGAAATACATCAAGGAGTTGGAAGATGTTCAAAAACGTTTTTTAAAATACTTGTCGTTTAAAATGGACGGAAAATATCCACCTCGTGGAGCTGATTATCTCAAACTTTGTGAGCGCTTTAATTGCATGACGTTAGAAGAGAGACGTTTAATTGTCTCAACAACTTTTTTATTTAAAATAATTAACAATAACATTAATTCGTCTGAATTGTTAAATCTACTCAATTTCAAGATACCTCGATTTAATTCTCGCAACTACATACCGTTTAATTTAAAGAATAAAATTGGTTTCTCGGGATTCAGTGCTCCAATTTTTTTCGCTTGTTACCACATCAATCAAATGTTCAATACCCTGAATCCCGACCTTGACCTATTTTATTCTTCTTACGATAAATTCCTACAAACTACAGAGAAATATGTACTTCGACTACGAGGCAATGTTTACTAACGAAATTCTTTCAAACTTTTATCAGCAGCGTTTATTTTCTTTTTTTCCTCTTATCTCTTTCTTTTTTCTATTGTATTATTACCTTGTATACACTAATTAATATGTAACTTATTTCTGATACCCATTTATGGTCCATATGGATCGCGGGGAATGTATAAATAAATAAATAATAAATAAATAATAAATAATACGGGACAGTAGGGGACATTTTGCTCTTTCCTTGATTCACAACATAAGTATGTTATATCAGATTTCTTAAAGAATTGAAACTTTTTGCTAATCATTGAGTTATAAGAGATTTAAAGTATTTACTTATAATTTTACAGACGGGACAGTAGTGGACAACTATGTTACAACCGTTAATCGATTATTTTTCTGCTCCACTATATAATTTGTCGGATAGAGACCAGAATATTCTAATTTGCTTTGATGTTTTGAGGTTATTCATTTATTATTGTAGAATCGGTAAAACAGTAAGTATAAGCGCGTAACCTATTCGTAGTGAGTGTGAAAAAAGGAATTCATTTTGGCAGAATAAAAAATATGAAAATAAGTGACATGTTTTTAATCTTTTTTTAAAATGATATTCTTGAATTTAATACACAGGTTTACAAATTAAAAACTTTTTTTTGCCAATCGAACAAAACATTTTTTTTCGAATAGTAGGTGTTTTTTGAGTAAGAAAATCATAGTTTTAATTTTTTTCTCTCGTGCAGTTTTTCTGTAGCTTCAAATTTTGCATTTTCAAGGTTCGACGCCACTTAAACTTACCTGTAGGAAAATTAGCTTGTCAAAATATAATAAATGAGGTATCATTGGAAAGGTTATTAAATTACCTTTCGATCCATAGGTCACAGAATAAAATTCAACAAAAATTGAGAGAGTTACAGTCGATTAAAGATGAAATTTCATGCCAATTTTGATGATTTTTAGACCTTTGAGTAACTTCTACTATTTTTTTCTACATCAAACAGGAAAGAATGTTTAGGTTTTAATTTTTTTATTGATAGACTATATCATTACACAAATTTTGAGTCCTCGTGGACCTCGATTGGATTAAAAATGACAATTCTGCACTAAATTTAGTGAACGAAACTACATTCTTCATTTTTAGTATCCCTTAAACATTTGCACCAAAAATTCAAGTAATAAAATTTGGTAAAGCGCTAAAGTTACTGAAATCACTAATCAAGGATTTCTGAAATCGTAGATTTCGAATCAAATGTTAGTTTTCTAAATTTCAAAATGGCGGATCCAATATGGCGGACAAGTTTTTAAAAATCGATTAAATTCGTCTTAAATTCGTTACTCGGGGGTTTTCGGGATCGCTGATTACAAATCTGATGTCAGATTTCGAAAATTAAAAATGATGGACTCATAGTGGTGAACGAGTTTTTTAAAATCCATCGAATTCGCACCTATTGGATCCGCCATTTTTAATTCTTGAAATCTGACATCGGGTTCGTAATCAGCGACCCCGAAAACCCCCGAGTAACGAATTTGAGACGAATTTCATCGATTTTTGAAAACTTGCCCGCCATATTGGATCCGCCATTTTGAAATTTGCAAAACTAATATTGCATTCGAAATCTACAACTTCAGAAACTCTTGATTAGTGATTTCAGTAACTTTAGCGCTTAACCAAATTTTATTACTTGAATTTTTGGTGCAAATGTTTAAGGGTTACTAAAAATGAAGAATGTAGTTTCGTTCACTAAATTTAGTGCAGAATTGTCATTTTTAATCCAATCGAGGTCCACGAGGACTCAAAATTTGTGTAATGATATAGTCTATCAATAAAAAAATTAAAACCTAAACATTCTTTCCTGTTTGATGTAGAAAAAAATAGTAGAAGTTACTCAAAGGTCTAAAAATCATCAAAATTGGCATGAAATTTCATCTTTAATCGACTGTAACTCTCTCAATTTTTGTTGAATTTTATTCGGTGACCTATGGATCGAAAGGTAATTTAATAACCTTTCCAATGATACCTCATTTATTATATTTTGACAAGCTAATTTTCCTACAGGTAAGTTTAAGTGGCGTCGAACCTTGAAAATGCAAAATTTGAAGCTACAGAAAAACTGCACGAGGGAAAAAAATTAAAACTATGATTTTCTTACTCAAAAAACCAGTGATATGAAGTAATTAATGAATTTTAAATTATAAGGTTTAGAGATTATAAAGAATTTTTGTTTAAATCTAATACAAAAAATGTATATATTAGTTATTAGAGGCAATGTAGTGCAAGTGCCTCGAAGACATGGACAGTAGGGGACATTTAGTCTGCTTTTTAGTCTGTCATTTCGTTTTAAAGCACCTCAAAGTTCTTCTATAAGTTAATAAAAAATTAGAGTATGTTAGATATTAATCAAATAAACCAAACAATATTCATTTGCTAGCTAAAAACTTTTTTTTGACCAAGAGACATAGATTTTACATTTTAAATGAAATGAGCCGTATATATATTTTTGGTGTCTTTTTGGTCAGCTATTTGGATTTTAGCGTACTGTCGCATACGAAACTGGATATAATAAAATACTATGTATGATACAACTTCTTCGGCATGCGTGGAGCATCCCAGTAAAAAAAATTCGATACACGGACCGCGATACGAGCTCGGTAGCTCGTATGAGAAATATGAGAAATCTCTCATATGAGCCTTTTCCGTAATGAGAAGTGTATAGATGCTTGTATACGAGGTGACTTTTAAAGCATTTTTATTAATGTAACACTATTTTAAAGTAAATGTAGATAATAGAAATGAATTTTCTCATCTAAAACAAAGCTTAATTCATAAGGGAAATGAAGTTTTAAGAAAAAAAGGATAATTTTGTTCAAAAAATTTATTCACACTGAAAAAAGATTAGAATTTGATAATTCCTTGTTACTCTTACTTACCGACATTAAATATTTCTCGGATGCAGTAAGCACGATTTTGTATTAGCGGTAGAATAAATAAGTTTTTCTTCATTACTAATTAATAATTACTAATTACTAATTAATAATATATTATTATTTATTTATTATATAAATGTTCTTATATAAAATAATTAAATTTAATACAAAATCGTGCTTACTGCATCCGAGAAATATCTAATGTCGGTAAGTAAGAGAAGCAAGAAATTATCAAATTCTAACCTTTTTTCAGTGTGAATAAATTTTTTGAACAAAATTATCCTTTTTTTCTTAAAACTTCATTTCCCTTATGAATTTAGCTTTGTTTTAGATGAGAAAATTCATTTCTATTATCAACATTTACTTTAAAATAGTGTTACATTAATAAAAATGCTTTAAAAGTGACCTCGTATACAAGCATCTATACACTTCTCATTACGGAAAAGGCTCGTATGAGAGATTTCTCATATTTCTCATACGAGCTACCGAGCTCGTATACGAACTCCGCGGTCCGTTTATCGAATTTTTTTTACTGGTATGGAAACTTTATTTCTTCTTGGGAAATTTCATCAATAACTGCATCATAACTATTATTTTATTTCACGTGGCGCGCAAATGATTCTTCTATTCTTTGAAGAAACAAAAATAATTGCGTGTTTGGATGATGAATGTCTATTTTATCTTCTTCTCTCGTTACTAGCTGATGGGCAATTGGATTATTTGAAAAAAAGGAATTTTCTTTTGACTGGAAAAGTCCAGTGTGACACACCTCACATTTAGTAAATTTTCGAACATTTTTGCAAATATTGTCCGTCACAAAATACATTAAACATTGAATGACAAACGGATTATCGTAGTCATGGTCTCAAACCTTTATAAATTCTGAGAAATCGTTTTCTTTTTCTTCAACAACAATATTTAATTTTTTTTGATATCTTCAATCAAGGATTTTTTGTTATTGGATTTGAAGATTTCTCTTAATTTGGTCATGGTTATCAAGGGCTTGATATTCGAAACGTCAGGTAAAGAACAGTTTCCCGTTTTTGGAGGTGTCAGAATGCAATAATACGAGAGAATTTTGTAAATTTGGAGGAATGTTGGAGTTTGCTGGGTGATCATTACATCCGCCTGCCAGTCTAATAGATCCGAAAAATCTCTATACAAAACAAAACATTTTTTATTAATTATCAAAAAATTCATAATTATAAAACAATCAATTCTGTAAATAAGAACACACAGATATTTCAAATATAAATAAAGTATAATATAGTATATAAAGTAAGTTTTAATAAATAAAGTAAATAGATAATATTATTATTTAATTATTTTTACAATAAATACTTTTAAAATATATAATGCAGCGTAGCAAAAAGTTTCTTAATCACTACGATTTTCGATGAATTTTACAAATCTTGAGAATAAAAGAGTTTTTATGCTATTGTTAGCACACAAAATAATATATCGTACAAACAAATAATTATTGTGTATATTTGAATGTAAAGATTTTGACATTTATTTGCCGAATAACCCCAGTAAGAAGTAAGGAATTGAGAAGAATTGAACATTTTTAACTTTTTACAGAAAATGTTAAATTATCAATTTTTTTTAATTCCGTTTCTGTCCAATTCCTATGTATTCCTTTTTGAGGCGAAGATTTCTTGAAAGTGAATTCCAATCAATTCCGTTTTAATATTTCTTTAACTTTTGAATTTTTGTGAATTCCGAAATACTGTGTGATACTCGGTAAGTTCAATTCCTGTCTATTCCGTTTTAATATTTTATAAATTTTTAATTCCTCTGAAGTTTGCAACACTTTGAGATAAGTGCTTCTAAAATTCGCTAGTCATAGTACAGTTTAAATAGCTGAGCTGAGCGATTTCTAAGTCTTCATTATATGAGGTGTATAAAAAAATAGACTTTTTTTCCTTCTTCAACAGGATGTTGAAAAAAAATTTGAACGTGCCATCCAATTTTCCACTGCAACCCATTTCTGTCCAAAGTTTTCTATTAGGCCTTCCACCGTCTGAAACAATTCCGTGCACTTTGGCTCCTGCTTTTTCCAAAAATATTAAAGCCCGTGTAGAAAAATTGTTGGGTTCTAGTGTGGTGCCAGAAAGACAGTCTATTCTCTAACTGGGCGCTGAAAAGACTGTCTGACCATGGGCTAATCAGACCAGTGACGATTGAACCACGCGTTGGTCCAGACTGGACGAGCTAATCAGGGCTAATGAGCAGTACTAATATTTCAAATTTTAGGTTCGATTTCAATATTTCAGGTTTTTAATTTTAAATAATTTACCCAAATTTACTCGGTTCTCACGTTTATTCAATGTAATGTGAAAATATGAATTATTAATAATAAATAAATATTATTGTTATTTATATATATGTGTGTATATGTATTTAATGACAATAACTTATTATTATAATAATTATATTATTTTCAAATAAATAATATACTGCACTAGCAGTAAATATTATTTAAAAGAGTAATATTGAAAGATAATTTTAATAAAAAAACAATTTGCGTTAATTGGTACATTTTTTAAATTCATTCTTTAACAGGCCTTTAACATTATTTACAATTTTAATTTATAACACTTATACAGATTAAATACAGTAATTTTATTATTTTATATAACACTTACAATGAAAAATATCCGCTCGCATGTGGGATCGAACTCACGCCCCCCACCCTTGACGACCCGACGCGAAGCATTTAAACCGCACGGCCACTGAAGTCTGGGTGTGAACTCTCCTAATTTACTATATCAATGCCAGTGTCATATATTCTGTTGCTTATAAGGACGAAGTGAAAACTATGACTAAAATTATTACACGGAGAAAAATAGTTAGCTATTTCAGCTAATTTTTAGCTACCTTAGCTAACCTTAATTGCTATTATATGGATAGCAATTATTGTTAGCTAATGCAGCTAATAATTAGCTAAAATAGCTAAAAATTTTTGCTAAAACAGCTAATTATTAGCTGTAATAGCTAAAAATTCGCTATCCATATAATAGCAAACTCATTTTTCTCCGTGTACACATAATAATCCCGAATTATTTTAATTATTATATATGAATACAGTCAACTCTATCAATAGTGCCGCAAAATTGCACAGCGTTTACGACTTTTCTTGGAACTGTAGTACCCCCACTGTTTGTATATTTCTCTCTTAGGGGAAACTCGAAATTCAGAAGCCGTGCTGAGTCACTAAAGTGGGGATAGAGCTCGAGCGAGAAAGAGGAGAAGTGGCACTATTGATAGCGGCACTATTCGTAGAGTTGACTGTATTTAAATAAATAATTCTTACTACAATTATAATCATTAACCATTTAGTCCAGAGATTGCCTCAACTAGACGCATCTGGACGGTCTAATCTGGACGGTCTAACTGTGTGCTATATGGGATTTTTCTGGACGGTCTAATTTAGACTTTCTAACTGTATGCTACATGGTATTTTTCTAGACGGTCTAATTTAGACTTTCTAACTGTATGCTATATGGGATTTTTCTGGACGGTCTATTTTAGACTGTCTAACTGTATGCTATATGGGACTTCATTGGCATCACTAGAATTCAAAATTTTTAAAGTACAAATCAAAGTACAATCAAGACTTTAGTGCCCGATTTGTCGGTCTTCTTCGAATTTATACATGGATTGTCACTTCAAAATTCAATGGAATAATTTAGTCAATCTAAAGAATCGTTCAAAAATAAATATTGTAGGTTTATATGAATATTATTATAGATAAAATTTTCAATGAATTTAATTAAATGAATTTAATTAAACTTAGATTTTTGAAAAATGCCTAATAATTCAAATTCTCCTGAAATTAGATAAATTTTTTAACATATTGTATTTGATTAATTATTAAAAATAATTTATCTGTAGAAGAATTTTAGTTAAAAACACTATAAACAATTAAGTGTTGGAGAAGTTACAGATTATTGTAGAAATTTAATTATTTTCAAAAGTAACAAAATTCTACACAGAAATTCAATTATGTTCAAAAATTTGTTTAAATTCTCATCAAAATTTCAATTATCTTTATAAAAAATAAGATCGTTCTCTGAAATTCAATTATTTTCCAAATTTTTAACAAGATTCTTGGCAAAATAAAATGTAAGCAAAAATTTAATTACTTTCATAAATAAAAAACCTTTCACAAAAATTCAATAAGGATTTACAAATTTTTTATAAGTTTCTTCTCAATAATTCAATTATTTTTATAAATAATAAAATTCTCAAAATTTTTTTATTATTTAAAATTTCTTAGTTAATCTTAGAATTTCTTAATTATTTTTAATACAATTTTAATCGAATTCTTCGAAAAGTGTATAATTATACTTAAGAATTCTATTGAAATTCGCCATAAGAATTCAATTATTTAAAAAATTTTTGATAAAACTGAAAGTAATTCATTAAAAAATGGTTAATGATTATAATTGTAGTAAGAATTATTTATTTAAATATTCATATATAATAATTAAAATAATTCGGGATTATTATGTGTAATAATTTTAGTCATAGTTTTCACTTCGTCCTTATAAGCAACAGAATATATGACACTGGCATTGATATAGTAAATTGGGAGAGTTCACACCCAGACTTCAGTGGCCGTACGGTTAAAATGCTTCGAGTCGGGTCGTCAAGGGTGGGGGGCGTGAGTTCGATCCCACATGCGAGCGGATATTTTTCATTGTAAGTGTTATATAAAATAATAAAATTACTGTATTTAATCTGTATAAGTGTTATAAATTAAAATTGTAAACATGTTTGTAAATAATGTTAAAGGCCTGTTAAAGAATGAATTTAAAAAATGTACCAATTAACGCAAATTGTTTTTTTATTAAAATTATCTTTCAATATTACTCTTTTAAATAATATTTACTGCTAGTGCAGTATATTATTTATTTGAAAATAATATAATTATTATAATAATAAGTTATTGTCATTAAATACATATACACACATATATATGAATAACAATAATATTTATTTATTATTAATAATTCATATTTTCACATTACATTGAATAAACGTGAGAACCGAGTAAATTTGGGTAAATTATTTAAAATTAAAAAACTGTAATATTGAAATCAAACCTGAAATTTGAAATATTAATACTGCTCATTAGCCCTGATTAGCTCGTCCAGTCTGGACCAACGCGTGGTTCGATCGTCACTGGTCTGATTAGCCCATGGTCAGACAGTCTTTTCAGCGCCCAGTTAGAGAATAGACTGTCTTTCTGGCACCACACTAGAACCCAACAATTTTTCTACACGGGAAAGTCTTCTACTCCTTTAAACATCATTGTTTTATTATCCAAAAGTAAATTTTTTCGAGTTCTTATTTCGTCAAGTAAAATCAAACCATGAAGCTCAATAGGGGATTTTTTTCGAAGTGGACTTTTAATACTTCTAAGAATTTCGAATCAAAACCGCAAGGGCAATCCATTTCTTCAAGATACCTAATGGGAAATGCCAGTGTAGTGCCGATGTTCACCACTGGCTTAGTACTCAGACGATTGTTCAGCGTAGTCTAGCCGAGCCTCGACAATTAGTGCTGGCGCAGTACAGAATTTTTGTTTCGACAAAGCTTGGACAAGCCACGGCGGCAAGTGCTGGCTGAGTATAGAAAAATTGTTCACAACGCTCTTTGCCAACATTGCTTTTTTGACATAAACTTGAAAAAAATTATAAAAAAAGTTTATGAATGTTTAGAAATATAAATTTATTGAAAAAAATTAATATTTTACTTTTCAGTTGTTCATTTTTTATTCTTATTAAATTTAATAATAACAATTTAACACAATTGTCTAATTTTGTAAATAATAAATTATTTAAACAAATTAAAATTATAAACAAAATTTAAACTTTAATCTCAATAATAATTTGGTTCCTATTAAAATACTATTATACTTCTTACTATGAATAAAAAATTATTAAAAAATTACCACGTAATTTAAGAATTACGTAAAATGTTAAATGCAATAAGTAAAGTAATTTAATTTTTAAAAATTTAGTTTAATTTATTTTATTTCAATTTATTATTTCTAACGTATCCCTATTTTTTCTCATCTTTGACTCAATAATTGTATGTCTGAATGATACTGAGATATTAATACTTTACTGTAAACATGTGTCGTTAGCATAGTGGTTAGAGCGTTAGTCTGTTAGTCTGTAGGTTGTAGGTTCGAATCCCCTCGTCAGCAATTTTGTTTATTTTCGTAGGTTTGCGATATTTCTAGATTCCAATCGTTAGGTACTAAAATATGAAAATCTAATGCACACTTACTGTAATTGTTTATTATTTAATTTTTAAATGTGATAAACAATTTTTTTCTACTTCATTTACTATATCCATTGTTAGTCTCCATCTTTAATACAATTTCTTTAAGAAGAGAAATATTTTATGAATAATAACTATTTATTAATATTATTTACCATTTTGTTGTTAAATTATTTATAATTATGAATTTACGACTAATTAATAACAATACGGCATTTATTGCGGCAATATTCTCAGCCAGCACTGGTCCAGTGCTGCGCCAGCGCTGTCTGGCAGCACTGACAGACAGTACTTCGGCAGCGCCAGACGGCGTTATCATCCCAGTGCCATGCCAGTGCTGGCTCTCAGCCTTGCCGCCAGTGCTGCCAGTGCTGGCGCAGTACTACGCCAGTTGTAAATTTCCCATTGGGTATTTGCAATATGTTGATATTATATACAAGACAAATAAAAATATCTTTGTTAATTAATATTGAAAGATTAAAAAATGTTTTAAAATATAAAAACAGTTTTATAATTTTAAATTATTGATTTTAAAATATTGATCAAAATAATAATTAGATACCTTCTAATAATCCGAACCGATGGTACAGGCAGAATTTTGTTCTCTAGTAACAACCGGTAAGTTGCTGGAGACTTCATATGGAGCAAAATACAAAGCAGCAGCCATTCATCGGAGTATCTTCGTCCATTAAGAGATTTACACTTGGCAGATTTAAAAATCTCTTTTATTACTGTATGTTCATTTTCGCTTATGTTTGGATTTTTAGCCAAAATTTCGGTTACTGATGTTTCAGATAATTTACATATTCTATTTTGGCAATGAAGAAGAGTCAATTTTAACGGTCGAATTTTCTCTTTAGCTTTTTCTTTTGATCTTCCAGAGTTTCTTGCTTTTCGACATAATTTTTCTCGTTTTATGGGACTAATTTTGTTTAATTGAATGTAATTTCTTTTATTATTTATGTTTTAAACGAATAATTTTTTTATTGAGGACTTGATTTATATTCTTACAGAAATTACACTGTCGATTATTATATTTGGTTTGTGTAGATAGAAGAATTGGACAATGGTTATTCCTTAAAGATTCACTTCCATCTACATAGCAAAAAGTACGCAATAAAGAACTATTTTGCTCATTCATAATAATACTAGTATATTACCAAAACAAATCTCACTTTTTTCAAGGGTTTCTAAAATTTCTTGTAAGTTTTATAAAGTTTCAATTTTTTCAAAACTTATCCCCAGATCTGTTTTGTTAACAAACCTGCCATTAATACTAATGTTAATAACCAAATTTTCATCAATTGTTAATTTTTTATGAACAGTACTGTCTAGAAATCCATTTTTGCCTTTTAGCCCAAATTAGTTTGACAAAAGTAACATCGTGTTCATTTCCCCATGAAATATTTAAACGAATCCATGAAGGTGGCATTCGAATTTCATTTTCGGATATTTCTTGAAATAAGGTCGTCTCATTGGCAGATGATTCTATAGTGTTTTTCAAAAGTAAATTATTTGTTTCATTATTTTGAATCGGCGATGAAATTAAATCACTGTTAGAAGGACCATCTTGTAAATCTTTTTTATCGTCAGGAATAACAGACAGTTATTTCGTTTTCTCAATGTCCAATTCGTTAAGTTCAGCATCGATTTTCCTCTTTTTATAGTTTTGTATTTTACCATTTACTTCAGCAGATAAATTTCTTTTCAAATGCAGTTTTCTTTCTTTTTCAATTGTAGCTCTCCCTAAATGAAGAGTAGGCAAGGCATCTTCTTTTAATTGTGGTTTTTTCAGTATTGTCTGAAATTAAAAAAATATAATTAATCGAATACTGAATTAATTATATTTAAATTGATTGAATTTGAAGAATAAATAAAATAGAAAACCAAAATTTATATTGTATATTTAAATGAAATAAATTTAAAGTGTTTAAATTTTTTGTTGAATTAAAGTTAGAGACTAATAAAATATGAATAAATTGAATTTACAATCCAATATAGCTTTCTGTAATATAAATTAAAATTTATTAAAATTTTGATTAATTGAAATCTGGATTAATAGATATTTTAAATAAATAAAATTTTTTATTAATTTAAAATCAAATCTATTAAATTTGATTAAAATTAATTTCGACCATTTAACAAAATGGGTGGCATATTAATGAAATAGTTATTGGAAAAAAAGACAAATTTTTTAATAAGATTAAAATATATTTAAAAAAAATTTATTCTAACAATACCTAATATCATCAAAAAACAATTTCATGTCCTTACAGCTTTGAACGTTCAAATGAACAAAATCTATGTATATATATATATATCTTTATATACATTTTATCAAGTCATTATGTAGTAATTAATAGATACATCATAATAATATGGTAAAAATTATTAATATAATTATTTAATTATTATTTATAATCTAATTATTTCTTAAAATAATAATAAAAAAAAATTTATTTAAGAAAAATTTTTGTTAAATAAATAAATAAAAATATATATACAGCTTTAAAAAATAAAATTTTTTTTATTATTAATAATACGTAATAATTCAAAAAATAATTAATTAATAATAATTTATTATTATATTATTAAAATATATCTATTAGTTAATAATAAATTAATAAAATGTTTGATATTATTGTTGATGAATAATGTTTTTACAAATCTTTGCAAATATTTTAATTGTTAATAAATCAAACGATGTTTAATGTTTAATTACATTATAACAAATTTTGATTGTTTTTTTAACTCCTTCGCAGTACTGATTTAGTGTTAAGCCAGTTTTCTGCCAGTACTGATTTTAGAACTTTTCTAACTCCGACATAGTACTGATTCGGTTTTGGAGTCAGTATACTCCCAGTACTGATCGGGTTCCGAAAGTCAGTACCGACGGTCAGTACTGAGTCAGTACCATGTCGGTGTTTAACTCCGTCCTAACTCCGGACATTTCTACTTGGGAGTGAGCGGCTTAAGGCTTGTCACTGTTACCCGACTTGTATTTTTAAAATATTGTAGCTTCTTTAACAAACCATGTTTCTGAGAAAATAATTAGTAGTTAAAAATAATTTCACATTTTCGATCAGCAAGAACAAAAATTTGCATTTAAGTTCACTTAATCTTGCAATCATCAGCAAACAAAAATATGTGATGAAAATGTAATCCTTAAAGTCGTAGTAACTTTAAGAAAAAATAATTCCATGAAAGTTTTGTGTATTTTATTTTTTAAGAAATTGATTGATAAATATACAATTTTATAGTGTAAAAAATATAATTGACATAAGCTGTCAATAAGTAGCCGAACATTTAATATTTATTGTTCATAAATAAATTCAATATAATGCAGTGTCGTGTAGGAATTGAAATGCAAGAAGAGTGTAAAGAACTATATAATAATAAATCGTTAAAATGTTTATATATGAATTGAGTGATTTAGATCGACGATTAATAACCTTAAGAACTGACAATCGAGTAAAAAATTCTAAGGACACAATTTGTAATTTTCATGAGTGTAAATGGGTGATTCTACAAACGAAGGACGAAAATCAAGAAAATTTGGACACAACATTTTTTTCTCATTTAAGGTCTGAAAAGTATTTTAACTTCAAGTTAATGGTACTAATAAAGACATCCATAAATGGCCAGACAAAATATTAAATTTTACAAAAGTTATGGTTATTTATAAACAATTTATCCAGAGAATTAAAATCGTGTCAAGAAAATTCACATTAACATAAAAATTAATGAATAGATTTTTATAAAATTGGTTACTCGGGGGTTTACGGGGTTGCTGATTAAGAATCCAATGTCAGTTTTTCAAAATTCAAAATGGCGGATCCAATATGGCGGACGACTTTTGAAAAAACTGAACGTATTCGTCTAAAAATCGTTACCCAGGGGTTTTTGAGGTCGCTGATTAAGAATCTAATTAAATGAATTTTAAAAAAATTGTTCGATTTTTATTAAATTTGATTTTGTAAAATATATTTAAACGTTAAATAAGTTATTAACCTAGAGGAAAAGTTAGAACTAACAATTTACAAGTTACCACCATTTTCGCAACTTTTGAATCAGATAGTTCAAGATTATTTAAAATACGGAATACTTGATGCATACGGAAATTTCCGAGGACTGAAAAGAAATTGAGTACCCGAAAAAATCGAATACTAAATACTTTGAGTACACCTCTAGTTTTTAACGTTAAGTTTAATTTTGAATTTACTTTTTAATAATTTATTAATTTATTTTTATTTAATTTATTTAAGTAATTAATAATTAATAATAATAATAATAAATTGTAATTAATTAATTATGATTATTAAAAATTATTTAAAATTTATTTATTTATTTTTATACATGTGTTACGTATGACTTTGTAAATCTTTATATTTACATAGAAACAACGTAGTTTAATTGAATTATATAGAATCCATTTCATAATTTTGCCTTGTAACCTAAAAACACAATTATCGTTCTTACACAAAAATACATATTTATTAGTAACACCAATAAATTCCAACATTAAGCAAAACTCTGAACAACCCACTTTTAATCAGGTAATTAGCACAATTAAATTAAGCAAAGCACATTTTTCCTTTTTATGTTAATATCGCAAGGCAAGATTTCTTTCAATTATTTGTAAATTATTGCACAACAACGAAGTGGTCAAAATCTAAATTTCACAAGTACCAAATTCTGCAAGCTGTCAGAATAAACTGCATTGAGGATTTCCCCACCTAATTGTCAATCAATAAAAAGACTTGACAAGGGAAAATCTGGGCAGTTTTAATTCAGGCAAAGTACCTGAACGTGATATATATATTGTGAGTCATTAAGACTAAAGAATTTTTATCCTTTTGTGAATTGAAGGGCGTAGTCCCCATTTATTGTAAAACAGAAATATTGAATTGAGATTAAGTCCACTTTAAAGAATATCAAGTTTGAAGCTAAATACGAGTAAGAGAAAAGGAAGATTGCTGCGATATAAATACAAATAAAAGAAGCAAACATAACGATTAAAAGTGAGTAAATAATTACACATTACACTCATATACACAAATCAATTTTCAAAGAAATACGTAAATTTTCATAAGTTGATTTCATGAGATTTTACTAAAAAGAATATTCACATTCTTTTTTTATTATAATTTATATTTTAATCCCAGAACATTTATATATTGGAAAATTAAAGGTTTATAAAATATATGTAAATCTGATAATTAAATAAATATTAATTTAACCAATAATTTCTATTCTTATTAATTGTAACTACACAATTGATATCAATAATTGTGAGAGTGGAAAAGTCCCCTACCTATTCAAATTTATTTAATTTGCTGAAGAGCATTTTTCGTTATCACGACAGATTTAAATTGATAATAAAATAATTTATCTATTTTACTTTTATTAAATTAAATCCTATTCGTAACAACATGTATGAACTATAAATATAGTAGTAGAACTAAAAAACATAATTAAATTGTTTAAACAAATTGTAAAAACAATGGTTAATTTGAAAAAAGTTGACCTCGGATTGGTAATAAGCGAAACAGAAAATCACCGAGTAACGATTTTCAGACGAATATGTTAAGTTTCTCCAAAATCGTCGGCCATATTGGATCCGCCATTTTGAATTGAAAAATTTTAAAAGCTGACATTAGGTTCTTAATCAGCAACCCCGAAAACCCCCAAGTAACGATTTTTACGAGGATTAATAAAAGTCATTGGTTTAATTAATTTTGGTTGTAATTTAATTAATAATTGTTTATAACAAATTACGGATGGTCTATTTGTTTCTATAAGCACAATTTCACAAATCATAGAATTGTAAAAGTAAGTTCAAGTGTCTAATAATAAAGAACTACTTTGATTTTAGTGGGCTAAACTTTATTCATATAAAAAAATACTTATTCCATTTGTTTGTTTATGTCAATATAATTATTTATGCGAAATGAAAATTGAAAATTCAGTTATAGCGATTTCTTGCAAATTTAATTAGGATTATTTTAAGACCAGAAAATCGAACAATAGTTGAAAATTGTTAGTTTTACGCTATTTTTAGTGATATAGTATACATCCTATCTCAAAAGTGCCAGACGAATGAGAACCAGACGAATGAGAATTTGGCATTTTTTGTTTAAAAAAATAGAAAAATAACATTAAATGAAAAAATCCTTCAGTACTATCTTATAGAGAATAATAATCTACAGAACATAAGTCTATAGAATAACCAGAAAATAAAATATTTTTTTAAAAAATGTATGCCAGACGAATGAGAATTTGTCTGGTCACAACACAATCTCCGTCACAAATTGAGAAATCTTGGTTAATAGATTAGAAGATTCAATAAAACCCGATTGGTATCACATTTAGTTTAGTTTGATTAACAACTACAACGAACAGTCACTTCATCAGAATGTTGATTTTTAATAATTTTTACATTTTTTGCACTGCCAGACGAATGATAAAAAATTCAGGGGACAAACTTCGCGAAGATATTTTATAAATAAGATATAGAGAAACGTCATAATTATTTTCATATTAGTAATCTACAACTATTCAAAATTACTAATTCAGTATGAAATTTCCGCAAAACATTTGAAAAGTGATATTTATTCTCAATATGAACTGTCATTCTCCCAAAGGGACATGCCAGACGAATGAGAATTTAGCACTATAATGTGTATTTTTTGCAAAAAAAAATTTTTTTTCATCGGTTTTTTTTCTGTGCCATAATAGAAACCATTAAGATTTACAATTTCCATTAAAAGTAAAATTATTCTTTCCAAAATTAATATACAA